AAGGGACACTGGGCATTTGTGTTAAGATCTCTGGGGGCCTTCTGAGAGAGAAAGGGATAGAGACTCTGACCCCTTTCCCCACTATCCAAAATTCCAGAAACCTGTCCGAGTGCACTAAGGTTCAGTGGTTAAGGAAGGGTAACAGGGTACCTGCTGTCCATCATTGAAGGGGTCCAGCCCTGTAATCTGGTGAACATTACTGACCCCTGTTCCAGTCCAATCTCCTGGGACAGGCTTATACCTGGCAGAAGGGATCTAAAGAGCTCAGAGAACCAGGCAAATATGGTCTGAAGCCCCTTTCATGGGCTTAACAGTGGGATACAGGAACTTTTATAGGCTTACCAGTTGGATAAAGGAACGGCAGGTCCTTCCTCTCTTAACTGCTGGACCTACACCAGCAGCTGTGGCAGCCCTAGAGCCTAGAGACCCGAAAGAGTCTGGGGACACCTAGTCACTTGGAGGGAGTTACCTTCACTCAGTGTCTTCCGAGAGCCTGTGACTCACTGAGCCTGGTGCTAAGTACTAATGGGAATCCAGAGGAGTGCAGGACAGTCCTACACAGCTGAGCCCACATGTGCACGCAGGCGTGTGTGTGTTGAACAAATGCTGAGTGAGCATTCTATGCTGGTGGCATAGAAGAGTCTGGAGGCCTGGGTTGTAGTGCTAGCTTGGCCACTAGTTCACTAGGTGACCATAGAAAATTCATGTCCTGTCCTAATCTCACTTTCTTCATCTATATAAAGGGTTGAACCTATTTGTAAGGCCTTTTCCAGCCACAGTGGCCTGTAGATATCATTTGCTATCTCCTTTTTGGTCCCAACTCACTTTCCAAGGTCTATCCTCAGCCCAGAATCTACCCTCTGTGAGGAGCTGTTAGTCAGCCTTGCACACAGGCAGCAAGAACAGAATCCACAGGTGTGAGATCCCTTAGCCAGACATCCATAGAGAGCACACGTGTTCTGGGTATATCATTTATTGTTGATTCTGTACACCAAATGTGTTACAAGCAGCATCCAGCAAAAGACAGACCCCAACCCTGCCCACTAGGGCTCACACTCTGTAAATCCCTGGGGGCCTAGAAATCTCTAAAGTCATCGCCAAGCACCTGGAACTATTTGCACTGATTCTCTAAGCAAGGCAAACATGATCTACTTTTGAAGGCAGCATGAAGGCAATGAGTTGGTGAGAACAATCTCTCCTTGGGAGAAGAAGAAACCTGGGACTGTGAGGAACTTCACCTAAACGTGGCCTGCTGGCCCACCCTCTCTGAACAACAGCGATGGCTTCCTTCCCAAGACCACACCACCTCCCCAACAACCGGATTTTGCTCTGACTATGGGATCTCAGGGCTGAATCTTTGAGTGCTTTGTAGCTTACAGCTAGGGTACCTCCAACATCTCTTCACCAACTCTAGTTATCTAGTTATCTCTGTCTACTTTCCATAAGCTTCCTGAGTTTGGAAGTCAGTTCCTGAGACGGGTCTACACTGACATCTGAAAGGTTGTGGAAACCGTGTTGTTGTCCATAAAAAGTTCTAAGAGCTTTGTGGTGCCTCCAAATTCTAAAGAGGAGGAACAATACACACACGGCCCAACAATTCCCCTAAGAGGGGCCAGGTTTTTTTAATGGATGGATGAGTCTAATCATTTCCTGTGTTTACAAAGCTTTTGATCCATACAAAACCAAAGTAGAGTTCCAATGACTAAGACCGTGGGGAGCAACAGGAGAGTGACTCCCACTTTTTTGGTCTAATGAAGAAAGCCCAAGACAGATGATAAGGCCATGTACAAAGTTTGAGAGAGAAGTACCAAAGTAGAGTTCCAATGACTAAGACCGTGGGGAGCAACAGGAGAGTGACTCCCACTTTTTCGGTCTAATGAAGAAAGCCCAAGACAGATGATAAGGCCATGTACAAAGTTTGAGAGAGAAGTAAGACCTATAGTCTACTGGACAGCATGCAGAAGAACAAGCGGTTTTATACCCCGTCTCCAGGTGATGGCGGTAATACCGCGCGGTGTTGTGAGGGTTAAAAAGAGAACGCGTGTCAAATCAAGTGTTGTGCAGGCCACCTGCACACGCAGGAAGCACTTTCAAAACACGATGTTCTGATGGCTTTTATTATCTTCCCTCCAACCTTGACTCCACCCTCCCTCTCCAGAAGGAGGCTGCCAGTGGCCGAGAAGTGGCCTAGAAGCCAGGGAACAGAAGGGGAAAGTGAACTGAACTCTGCACCTTGCCTCAGGTTTGGGGGAACCAAGTGGTTCATTCTAGCCCCAAGAATTGAGCAAATGCATCATCCTGTTAGAAAGAAGACTCCACCCAGCTTTCCTGGCAGCTCCCTGCCCAGACACCATAGTTCAGAGAGCTCCAAAGTCCTGCTGAGGAAGAGGATGCCCAACAGCTGCACTCAACCGCTCCAATGGGAGAAAGAAAGATGCAAGCTTCGAAGGCCACACACAGGGTCCACCACCCCTCTGACGATGGCCTGCTATATTGGTCCTGGGGCCTCAGGGGTGCTCTCGGGCAGCAGCATCTGAGGACAGCTGTCCTCAGGCCAGCCTTTGGTCCAGAGAGGAAGGTCTCCAATGTCATGGCCAATTCCAGAAATACCCAGGAGTTCTGGGTTAAGATTGGCAGGGTACACTGGATGAAGAGGACTCCTGCCTCTCACCATGCCTGGCCCACTTGTGCCTATGCATGATGAGATGCTGGAGCAAACTCATAGGGAGCCCCTGGAAGCTCTGAACATGAGCAATGTGGTGCCAAACCATGCTCCTTGTCTGCAAGAGAGCAGGCGAGCCTCCCCCTGGGGCCCCAGGACCAATATAGCAGGCCATCATCAGTGGAATGATGCTCATGCCCCAAATCCTGGACTCACTTCCCTTTGGGCCTTGGCAGACCTTGGTACATGTCCACCAGTTGCAACAGATATTTTAAAAACACCTCTTTCTGAGACCCAGATCTGCCTTGGGGAGATTATGCCTTTTGACTCTGACAGGCCCTATCTCTCCCAGATTCCCTTGGACAGAGAATGAAAAGCTACAAAGTGCACTCGTTCTTACAAACATCCCTTCCTGGACCCTTTTTATGGGGACTAGAAGGGAAATCTTGTCATCCTGGCAGCATCATGCTACTAAGGCTCTGGAGGACTTTGTATCTGTCTTGTTGAGCAGAAGGAGCTAATAAGACCAATCAGGATTGGTGGTGGATTGCTAAATCCACGTGGAGTCAGCGGAGGTTCTTTCCTGGTCAGACACGGAGACCTGATATTCTCCATTTCACCATTTTTACTCCTAAACAGCTGGACAGTTGTCCAGAGAAAGATACGTTTTGCTATGAGTATAATTTCTTTAACAATGGGAGAACATGCATCCAGCAGAAAGGGCAGCGAAGGCAGGTATTCATGTGACTATAACTCAAGGAGGAGAGCAACCCCAGACCGAACAACTCAACTCTTATAACCAGACCACAGGCAGGAGGAGCTCCAGAGAGCCTCAGACCCAGTGTGACCCATCAGTGTGCCCTGATATCGCCTGCTATAAGGGAAAATTCTGAAGTTTGGCTGCTAGCTGACTGTAATGATGGAGAATTTTACCACAACATTAGAGGGATCTCTGGATTCCATTACACTTAGCTATTCAATTAAAGGATCTCATCTCTGAGCTATTTCACTTCTCCCAAATGGAGAATGAAAATTAAAAACAGATATAGGCATATCATGCCCATAAAAGGCCCTAGGAAGAGGTGCCTCCAATATGTAGAAGGCAGCTTGTTGGCAGGAAAGGGGTCTGGTTGTGCCTCTGGAGTCTGGATGCTTCTGACCCGGCCAGCGTGGGTGTCTCTGGTCTCAGGATTTTATAAATCTCCTGTTCAGGCCAGAGTCTCCTGTCCTGTGCGTACTCATATCTTCTCCTCCACCCCTGGTAGCTGGGCCTTTGCAAGGGCTGGCTGTTGGGGAAGGGAGGGACCCATCCTGGCTCATGGGGAGCCAGGTCCCAGGTAATTCCAGGCCATCTCCAGAAGCCTCAGTCTTCTCCAGTAAAAGCTCTGGGTCAGGGATACTGGCGATGTTCTGTTTCTTGATCTGGATGCTGATTACATGGGTGTGTTCAGTTTGTGAAAATTCACCAAGCTGTACACTATCATGCTCCCACTTTTCTGTATGTATGTTATACTTCCATAAAAAGTTAAAAAAGAAAACCCTAGGGGTGAACACAAGGATCTCCAGGCACCAAGTTTCTTTCTCCATCCACATGAATAAGCTGACTTTAATGTTTTAGAATTCAGAAATTCTACATGATTTTATTCCCTAAAAGGCTAAAATTTTCAAAGCAAAGTTCGCAGTTTGGAAATATCATTCTCTAAAAGGCTGAACTTGTTGTGCTCGTATCTTTCTTCCTTTTCCATATAAAAATCACAAAAGAGATACTGGTGACGGCTCTCTCTTTCATAGCATCCTCAAAGCCAGGTGCTTGGCAGCAATTAAGAAACCACCTAAATGGTTTGAAGACTTCTTTTAGGAGAGAACTCACCCTGCCTTCAGGAGCAGAAAATCAAGGGGAGAACTTTCACTCAGGGTACAGTGTTTAGCCATGGCACAAACACAAGGAGCAAAAGAAGAAAAATCGACTTACATAATACTGAGGAGAGAGGATGTCCCGGCGCAGAACTATTCCCACAAAGTGAGCATGCTTCTTAATAATTGAGTCTACAGAGGTCAGGAGGGGGCATGGGTGCAGGGAAGGTTGTTCTTGGAGGAGAGGATTCGGAGGAGGGGCCCTCTTGAAGGAAGCCCAGGGATGTGAATTAGAAAACCCCCAGGGTTTTGCCATGGCTAGGTAGATCTCCCTGGTGGCAGGTCAGGAGGAGATGGGGGCATCTTTCTTGAGGGTTCAGAAAGAGTGATCAGGGGATGGCTCTGTGGACCCAGAGGTGGAGGCAGAACAATGGAATTTCCAGATCCTATGGTCCCACCATTTCCCAGCCCTTCCTCCAGCTGCCTCTTTAGCACTCATTGGGTGCCTTCATCTGCATCATGACCGTTTGGCTCCTCTGCTTGCAGCAGCAACAGCAGATGCAGGCAGCTAGGGAGCAGGCCAGGGCAATGATGCCAATTACAATGGCAGCAATGGCCAGCCCACTCTGGGCCCGGGTCATGCCCCACGTGCTGCGGTCATCGGTGACCTCAATGGTGGTCAGATCAGTGTAGTCTTCCACGGCACTAGTGATCTCGGTGGTGTAAGAGATGGATGTGGTGTCAGGGTAGCTGGATGTGTCTGGGTACTGTGGTGTTTCTGGGTAGCTGGGCACCTCGGGAATTGCTGGAACCTGGACACTGGGGACAATAGCATTGACGTTGATGATGATGAGGGACTGGCCTCGGACACTAGGTGGACTGAAACACACTGGGAGGGTGTCTGTCCCTAACCTGGGCTGGTTGAGCAGCAGCCAATTGTGGAGAGGAAGGATGTCTGAGTCACACCTCCAGGGGTTATCATAGAGCCGCAGCTCACACAGATTCGCCAAGTGATCAAAGATGCCCAAGGGCAGGTTCTCCAGCTGGTTGTTCTGCAGTTGGATGGTCATAAGGGCATTGACATTGGCAAAGATATTCCCTGGGAGTTGTCTGAGTCGGTTGTTCTGCAGGGAGATGTTCTGCAGATTGGCCAACATGCGGAAGATGTTCCCATCCAGGTCCTGCAGTGCATTGGTGTGAAGGGACAGCTCTCGAAGTTCTGTCAGCCCATTGAAGGCACCTGGGGAGATGAAGTTGATCTGGTTGCGGCTAAGGATCAGGACCTGCAATTGGCGGAGGCTGCTGAAGACGTTGTCAGGTAGAGAAGTGATGTGGTTGTCATAGAGCCAAAGCTCCCGCAGGTTGTGCATGGGTCCAAAGATCCCTGGAGAGAGCTCCTTCAGAGCATTCCCAAACAGTGTGAGACGGTTGATCTGGGGCAGCTGTAAGAAGATGCCAGGGGGCAACTGAGAGATGAGGTTGTTGGACAGATAGAGTTTCTGGAGGTTACGGTTGTTGTGGAAGAGGCCAGGGGAGAGCACACCAATCTGGTTCTGCTGGAGAGCCAGTTCCTGGAGATTGACAAGCCCGTCAAAAGTACCCATGGGGATGTCCGAGAGCCTGTTCTCATACAGCCGGAGGACCTGGAGGTTGCCCAGGTGCTGGAAGATCCTGGGTGAGAGGTGGGTGAGGCTATTCTTGCCCAGATTGAGCTTGTTGAGTCCCACCAGGTGGTCAAAGACGCCATCAGGGATGTATTCCAGGTGGTTGCCGTGCAGCTGAAGTTCCTTGAGGTTGCTGCACTGGGCAAAGTGGGCCGGCTGGATCTGCACCAGCTGGTTACTGGACAGAAGGAGTGACTCAAGGTTGTCCAGGCCCTGGAAGAGGCCGATAGGCAGAACCTGAAGCTTGTTGTTGGCGAGGCTGAGGTAGCGCAGTGAGCCCAGGTTGCGGAAGGTCCCTGGCATGATGTGTGACAACTCATTCTTCTCAATCCTCAGGGCAATGAGGGCTGAGATGTTGAGGAACGGAGAGTCCGTGAGTTCAGTGATATGCGTGTTGAGGATCTGCAGGCTCATGGCGTTCCAGGGCAGAGGGGTGGGCACTGCCACAATGCGTGCCCCAGTGCACTCCACCTGGGAGGCCCTGGAGCAGGTACACTCGCTAGGGCAGCCATAGTAGGCGAGCCCCACACCCAAGGCTTGGCAGCCCAACAGCAAAAGGAGATAATGTTTCAGTGGCATGGCCTGTGCAAGGGACAAAGCACACATTATTAGTCAGAGTCACCTCACTGACGCTTTTGATAGTTTTAAGCCGGTGTCAACCCTCACTGACAACACTGGCTTGGCTTCAAGCCCCCTCATCATGTACCCAGTTCCCACTCCCTATGTCCTGGCCAGCAAGCCTCTTCACATTCTTCCAGGCCTTCCTACTTCTACACCTTTGCTCAAGCAATTCCCCCACCTGGAGTGCTCTTCACCTTCATGCAAATCACTCCCATACTTCCAAGTCCAGCTCACATGCAATCACCTGTAGGAAGCCTTCCCAGATTCCATGAGTCAGTATTAGTCATCCTCCCATGCAGGTGGTCCTCCCAACCTCCATCATTGCCTGTGCCACCACTGGCCCTGTACAGCATTCATTGTGTTCCCATCTGTCTCCTTCCCTAGTCAGTAAGCTTTTCAAGGACAGGGAGCTTGTGTTTCATCCCCACAGGTCCCCAAAGGCAAGAACCGTATCTTATCCATCTCTGTATCTCTCATAGCACCTGAACATGCTGGTTGAACATGGGTTTGTTGGGAGGAAAAGAGAGGAAATGGGAACAAATAGGGCCTGAACCTGGGGGAGATGCTGGAGGAACAGCAGCCAGCAGAGTTAGGACCACATGCTGACCCGCCGGAAGAGATCACAGGGGAGGTTCAGCTCCCCCTTGCCCTCCCTTGCCCTGCCCTGCCCAGCCAACCCTACCACCACTATCAGCAACCTGTCCCTTTGTTAACCCTTCCACACATGCTTCACTAGATTTAATCCAAACCACCTTCCCAATAAAAGGAAACAATCTATCTGCACCATGTTCTGTCTCCCTGGGAGAGGCTGCTGTGGCCCAGCCGATGCCTGGGGTGTGCCTTCTGGGTATGCATCCCAGTTTTCCCAAAGAAACATGGCATGGCCTTGAATGAGTCCCAGAAAACTTAGGATGCACTTTGAGCTAAAAGGTGGTAGGTCCAGATGCTCCCTCAGGCATGGCTTTGTGTTTGAAGTCAGCAAGGACGATGACAAGTGTGTGAGTGTGACGGAGAGATATGAGACATAGGTACTAGTCCCTACGTGAGTATTTATGGACCACTAACAGTTTGACTTTGAATACATCTTGAGTTTGAACTTGAATGAAGTTTGAAGCTTCCTCTAAGCTTCAGCTTCCTCGTCTGTTAAGCAGGGAGGATAACTTCTGTCCCCTCTTGGGGTTGTTGTGAGAGCAAATGGGAGAATGGATGTGAGGGCGTCCTGCACAGCGCTGTGCCGATGTGTGCAGTTGTTCCAAGCTTAGCCACAACATGGGCCTTGTAGACTCCTGAAGGCAGGAAGGCCTCAAAGTGCTTCTAATCTTGGCATTCTCAGCCAATGGAAAAAGGATTTCTGTGTATATGTGAGAGTACCTATAACTTCCATGCAAGGTTCAAAGGGGTCTGTAACTCCTGAGGGGTTAACTGCTGCTCATACATCCCCATCATTTTATGGGGATGCAGGAAACAGGGAAACTGGGGCTCAGAACTTAAAGCCCAGGTTTCCAGACTCCTAGGTGAGTACTTTGAGTGTTAATGCAGTGTCTGTCCTTTTAATGAGCAAAAATCCTGAGTCAGAGGAAGGAATGTCAAATGATGGCATATAAGACATATAAACTGGCTGGTGGGGCTGGTATTTCTCTGACCTCTCTTTGTGCCCCTGAACTCATGGGGTCTGGAGTCTGGCCCATAACTCAGAATAATCCAGGTTTCTCAAACTGGCCTCAGCCCTATGCATCCTCCCCAACCCCACCCCCAAGAAGCTTACTCTGAGGGAAAAACCCAACCTCATCCCCAACATAGACCTTAATTTTTTACTTACTCACAGCCTATCCAAGCCCGGACCTGTTGTGCTTTCACATTAAGGACTTGACTAAGTATTCAGAACAGTGGAAAAAAGAAAGGAAAAGAATACCTTAGCCAACAGAGTCTAGGTGCAAAGGAGTGGGACCCGATTAAGCTGTGGACACATCTAAAAAAATTAACTTGTATAGACAAATGTCAGGTCCAGAACTTGAGAGCAGAAAACAAATTGCCTACATAGGGGGCAAAGAAAAAGTAGTTAATGTCCACCCCAGGATAAAGACTTAGGGCTTTTTATTGACAGTAACAAAGAAAGAAGGTTGCCCATAAATGCTAATCGAATCTGAGACTGGATTAATAGAAGCATCAAGTGTGGAACAAAGGAGGTGATGTTCTCACTCTGCACTACCCTGATCAGGCCGCACCTCTAGTGCTGTGCTCAGTTCCACTCTCTACTTCCAGAAGGCCAATGACAAATTGGCCTCTTGAAGAATTTCTAGAGGATGATGAGGGGAACCAGAAACCAAAACATCTGAGCATCCACTGAAGAAGCTGTGGATGAACAGCCACAAAAGAAGGTGTAAGGAGTCCACACGCACTTTCCTAGTACACATGAAGGGCTGCCATGGGATAAAGAAAGCAACCTAACTCAGTGTGGCACCAGAGGTCAAAATCAGTGTGCGGAAGTTATGGAGTCTCAGACTTCAGTCCACCACCAAGACAGCTTGTCCAGAGTCAAAATGGACAACCTCATAGAGGTACTCAGCTCCCCGTACCTAGAAGTATCCAAGCAGAGGCTGAGGACCACTTGGTAAAGAAGCTGTAGAGATAATCCCTGAGTCAAAATGGACAACCTCATAGAGGTACTCAGCTCCCCGTGCCTAGAAGTATCCAAGCAGAGGCTGAGGACCACTTGGTAAAGAAGCTGTAGAGATAATCCCTACACCTGGTAGGGTATTGGATGAGAAGACAGCTGATGTCCTGACCATTCCTGAGATGTTAGGATTCTAAGGCTGAGTTCCAGAGCATGGATACAAGATCCATCTCCAGGGACAATTGTATCTGTGCTCTCAGGGGTCTGTGGACAGGTGTGGGTGTTTGTCCATCTCCTTGGTTTATGTGTGTGTGAGAGACTTACAAAAGGTGAAACTCCTGGTGACAAGCTGGCTAGCATTTATTTATTTTTAATGTATACTCCTATGCCTAGCATGCTTCAAAATGGTGTCACAGCCCAAGTATCAAAGATTAAATTAAGTGCCCATCACTTGGCAAACCAAGGGCAGTCTCTGCTGATTTTCCCATCTGTAAATGACAGTGTAGGATGAGGCAGCCTCTGAGAACCCATCTTTATATGGTCTTCTCTGAATCTGCACTCCCCAGCTGGGGAGGGACCCCCTGGGAAGGGTCCAGGCCAGGGAAGGAGGAGTGGAGAGATAATTCCTTATGGGAACAGGGCCATCGTTGTCTAAGAGGGACCACACTCAGCACGACAAATATTGCAAGAATTTGCAGTGTCTCCTTCTTTTTATAAATCCTCACGTCTGCAGAGCCCATCCTAGCACCACATGCAGCAGTTTCCTGTTTTCCAGCACTTGTTACTGTCACAGCTGGCACAGACTGCACCAAACGACCTCCCAAGAGCTCACCTCAAACCCAAATGCAGAGCCCTCCACCGAGGGAGGGGCCACAGAGCAGGCTCAGGGGCTGGGCCCTCGGATTTTCAGCAAGTGTGCAGCAGCCTGTGCCTTCAGAAGCCCGGCACATAGTGTCCTAATAGCCCACGCTGCCCAGAGCTGCTTGGCAGCTGTGACAATGGCAGTTAAAGGCCCACAAAGCCACTGTAATTACACCTTCCTCCCCAGGCAGCCGAGTGCGTCCTCAATCACTTCAGTGACTCAGTCCAGCCCCTGTCCAGCCCCTGGGGAGAGGGTACAGCCTGGCGTCTGTCTCCAGCTCATGAAGTCAGCAAGCTGAGAAGACAGAAGGACAGACAGCTCACCTGGCCACTCTGACGCAGCCCCTCCCCAGGGGTAGAAGCGCTAGAACCAGGACACTCTGGCTGCGGGTCTCTGAGCAGAAACACCCTGTGACTCATGAGCGAACACATAATTAGACTCAAAGCCCTGAGCTTTGTTGGTTGGTGGGCTGGGACTTTTTTGGTTTAATATCATTCACATCCCTAAACACGAGGTTCCCTGAAAGGAGACTCCTTCTCACTTTAAGCTACAGAGCAAAACTTTTGGAAAGAGCCTGGGAGACCAGTGTTCTTCTCTGGTCTTGACACTAAGTTGGAGTGTGAGTTTAGGTAAATTCTCTAGGCCTCAGTTTCCCTTTCTGTAAAGACTTTCGAGGGCCCTTGCAGCTCTGATATCTTCTAACTGGAGGTGGGAAGGAAATTTGGCTTGCAGCTCCACCAGTCTCTCCATCTCCCTTCCCTGTGACTTGCTCTGCACCACCAGCAGTGTCACCTGGCCTGGCCCCGCCTTCACACTGAGGCCTGAGGAGCTCCTGCCCATCTTTTCAGGCCACCTTGCTTCAACGGCCTCCCAGGCAGAGCAATCCTACCTGTTAATCAGCGCATCTCCACACAGCCAATAGCCACTTCGTGGGACCCAGGAGGTGAAAGGGGCTTTGGGGAGTACTGCTTTCTCCCAGTGTACTTGGGAAAACTGAGGCTCAGAAAGTTAATCTCTCTCCTAGACCCGTGCCCTCTCCCTACAGAGGCCTCCTTAATCATGGCCTCATTTGCGGTGAGATGTCCCCCAACCAGCCTGAGGGCTGCCGAGGTAGATGCCAGGTGTGGAGCTGCTGAGGGGTCATCCCCTGCCACCCCTCACAGCCAGTGTTGCTCTCAATTAACTCATCGGTGGCCCAGGCAACTGGTCTGAAGTCACTGATGGAGAGGCTCAGCCTGGAGCTCAGGCCTCAGCATCCAGACCTCCCCATCTCACTAAACACGGGCTCCCCCAGAGCAACACATAAACTCACCTAGGAAGCTTGTTTAATAGAACTGACCTCATAGCGTTGCTGCTGTGAGGATTAAATGAGTTAACACATGTGAAGCACTCAGACTTGTTCTTGGCGCAAAGTGATTACCCAATAAATGTTAGTGGCAATTATTGTTATTTTTGTTGAATAAAATCAGGATCTGTGGAAAC